CTCGAGTCATTTAATTGGCCTTTTCAAAAGTAAAGAATCTGGTTGCTTCCGTCTGTCTAGTTGGCTCATCAGAAAACTTTCAATCAAAAAACCTTCCCAAATACGTGGGTTAATCCATGTCTGACAGCTAGGCAATGGGATTTCCATGGAGCAGGCACACTGCATGTGGACAGGGACTTTCTGTTTGTTCACTGCCACATCCCCAGTACCTACACAATACCTTGCACCTAGTGGGGACTCAACATATACTTGTTAACTGAATAAATGCATGAACGATTATCATGTATCCATTTTTTAAACTTTAAAGAGGTAATAACTTGGAGAAGATACTCATGTGGTTAAGTTTAAAAAAGAAACGTATGGTACTGAATAAACTGTATCCATCATTCATTCATTTAACAAATATTTATTGAACTCTGCTATGAATGGGGGAAAGACAGGACTGATATAAAGATTAAATGACTTAGCATACTGTATCAGTCTTCTAGAGATTCCATAACAAAATACCACAAACTGGGTGGCTTAAACAACAGAAATTTATTTTCTCACAGCTCTGGAGGCTGGAAGTCCAAGATCATGATGTCGGCAGGGTTGGTATCTGGTGAGACCTCTCTACTTGACTTGCAGATGACTGTCTTCTTACTGTGTCCTCAACACAGTCTTTCTCTGTGTGTGTGCCCTCCTGGTGTCTCTTCCTCTTCTTATAAGACACTAGATCTATTAGATCAGGACTCTGCCCTTATGACTTCATTTAACCTTAATTATCTCCTTAAAGTCCCTGTCTCCAAATACAATCACATTGGAGGTTAGGGCTTCAACATATGAATTTCAGGGGTTAGGGGAGGATACAATTCAGTCTGTAACACATATGTAAAATACTTATAAATAATGCCTGGCTGGCTCATTTGGTAGAACATGGGACTCTTGATCTCGGGGTTGTGAGTTTGAGCCCCACGTTGGGTGTAGAGATTACTTAAAAGTAAATTGTTAAAAAAAAGAGAAAAAAGAAAGAATGCCTAGCACATACTAAGCACTATATGAGTGTTCGATATTATTATTACTATTATTATTGTTAGAAAATATACAAAACCGCATTGGTTAATATCCTTGGGGAATGAGATTACAAATGACTTTAGTTTATTCTTTCCTGTATTTTCTAACATTTTTATGTTGAACAATTTTATTAATCTGGGGGAAAATACTACTATTCAATAAAAGACATGGGTTGCAACTTGTTTGCAGTTCTATGCAGTTCTATGCAGTTCTATGCATCACATACTGCAAGCCTTTGCTCTGGATAGGGTTTCAGGTCCTGGCTGAGCTCTTCATATTTGTGGTTGTCAGAGTGAAGAGATACAAAAACCAGGCTCAGTTCCCACAGGCCCACCAGCTAGAGCTTCCATTTCCTCACGAATGCAGGGATGAGGGTGTGGGAGCCTCATGCTGTTGAGGCTGGAAAGACCTTTAGCAATGGGACAGTGAGTAGGTCCATCTGAGTTCTTGATTGCAAGCAACAAACTCCATATTGACTATTTTAAGCAGAAAAGGAGCACATTAAAGAATGTTAGGTAGCTCACAGAATTTGGGGGAAGGTTCAAGAAAAAGGGTCAGATCTCAGCTTCTAGGAACAATACCACAAACTGTCCTCTACACATTGCTTCTGCTACCAGCCTGTGCCAGTAAGATGGAGACCACACATAGGACTTCTTGCTTATTACCGGGTTTTGAATCAAAGGCTTACAAAGCTCTATCTCATTTGCATGGTCTAAGTCACTTATCCACCCCTTCCTGCAAAGGAGGCTGAAAAAGAGACTTCTCTGGGTTCTACCTTGGGGAGGAGGTAACTATGTGGGAGACTCTCAAAATAAAGGAGAGTGTTAAAAAATGTTGGAGAGTTCAAAAACAAAACAAAACAAAACAAAACAAAACAGAGGGTCCACCACTGTCAGAGAAGCATGGCTCAGATATTCTAACTTCAGGAAAACCAGAGCCCATCCTTGTCTGGCTCTTAGGGCCACAGTCAGGCTAGACACAGAGTGGTGGACACTTGGCCTCACAGACCAGAGGCCATTTGTGATGATAAAGAGGCAGCAGAGTCATGGCTAGTTAATCCTGATGCTCAGAAACCTGTAGATTAGCCCCTCATTGTACCAGTGGACACAGAGAGGGACAAAAGCTTGTCCAGGGCTGCACAGCATGGCAGAACTACAGCCAGGACTGGGAGTGGTGTCTGTTGTTTCTCTTTGATGCCTGGTAAGTTTTAAGGTCCCACTCAAATATTTCCTCCTTCAGGATGTCTCCCTAGGTAAGGCTAGGATCAAATGTGTGTCCTCACGCTCACCACCTGAACTGCTCATTACCCCTGTTTCCTATTTGCCTTTTTCCCCCTCCTTGGTTCCCAGCAGGGGGCCAAACACGTGTTAGTGAACATTAGCTGAATAAGTGAGTGAAGGAATGAATGAATGAATGGGAGTCTAAAGTCAAGGAATTGCTGTATGACCTAAGGCAGATGTTCTGCTCTCTAGACAATGGCCTCCTACTCTGTTGAAGAAGAAAATATTCTCCGCATTCTCTGGACCAGACCCCATGCCAGGGTCTAAAAACATGATCAGGATTCTACCTGCCTGCTCTCTCAGAGGTGCTGAGCTGGGAGGAGATAGATGTGAACAGAGCTGGCCACTACTGTGGCTGATCTTGCTGACTGAGAGAGAAGTCCAAGGGCCCTCCAGCCTGGCGTAGGTATCTCTGGGCCCTGGGTCATCTCCTGCTGGGTTCCATGGCTGTCATACCCATGCAGTCTGGATGCTTCAGAGTCACAATTGCTGAGACCCACAGAAGGTCCATAGATGGACACCTACAGGAGGGGAAAGAGACCTCTGGAGCCAAGGACAGAAAAGAACGAGTCCCTATAGCCAGTGGCAAGAATAGGCCTAAAGAGGAAAGATACCTGGCCCATGATTCCACAGCCAGACCCTAGTGTTCCAATCCCCACCCCTTAGGGAGTAGGGGGAGGCAAGCCATGCTCAAAGAAAACAGAAAAATACTCAGTTAAGCTGTAATCTGTCACAGCTCCAGCTCATCTTTTTGAATCAAATTTTTCACAAGTAGCAGAGACATCTGTAGGAAGAGTAACTGGATGCGACATCCTGCAGGAGGCCAGGCTAAATGTGTCCCATGACATCATTGTGGGGAGGAGGCTGCCAGGAGCCACGCAGGGGCCTGGAGTATTTCTGCACCTGAGTGCTGTAGGAGAAGGCTGGGCCTGAGGCTAGCAGCTTGGCTTCTGGGCCCTCTGCTCCACAAAGAAATTCTTTGTTGGCCCCCTGCCCTATGGAGAAATTGCCTGCCCATCTCTGTAGACTAATCTGATCTGGAGAGATACCTTCTTTCAGCCCAGCCTTCTGGTTCCCTCCCCGGGTCTCCTTTTGAGCACCAGTAGGTCTTCAGTTAATCTGCTGCCAGTGGAATTGGGGGGAGGGCAGATTCTGACAGACTTATGACACCCTTTTGGAGGAGCCTTCCAAGCCTGGAGCATGAGAGATTCCATCAAAGTCCCTGCCAGGCTGTGCCTGGGTTCCAGCAGGAGCATCTCTCCCAGGAGTCCAGATCCTGCGATAGGAAAGAAGGTGGAAGGTCCTACTGTAAACATGGGAAGTGCCTCAGAGGCACACATTTACACATTTGCACCTACAGAGTGTACATGGATGGGGCTGGCACACATATGCCATATACTAATACTGCAAGCAGAGGCCACAGCACAAACTCACACCCTAACTGCTAAGTTGTTGAGCACATGCACACAGGGCAGGTAGTCTCTGGTGGGTCTGAAGAGATCTCTGGCTCTTCCATTCTGTGCCGCCTGACCTCTATCCTCTGGTTTCCCATCCTTTTCTTTGTGGGTCAGCTAAGTGCCTGGCCTGGGAGGGCTGCATATATTCTGGGTTGGGCTGCTTGAGCGCTGTCCTCGGTGCTGGATGCCTGGTGGGACATGCACATTTGAGAACAAGCGAGAGTGTTGGGAGGAGGTGCCCTTGAAATCCAGGTGGTGTAGGGCCCAGCAGGACATTTACGTTTATTCTACACTTATTCTTTCAGAAGAATGTACCAATGGGTTTTCTCCTTTCATCCCAGACACTGAAACAGAAGGTGTCCAACCCCTCAGCCAACATTGTGGCCATATGCCGCTGTGGGTGGCTGGGTAGCCATACACTGTAGCTATGAGGGACTTCTTAAGGTCTCACGTGCCACAGATAGCTATGTATGAAGACCATGATGGCCTGTGTCCTCAAGAAACACCTGTGATTCCATGTGGCTTCCTGTGACCTCCTGTGACCCCATGTGGCAGGCTGTGACTACATGGGGCCTCCTGTGACCTTGGTGGCCTCAGATCCAACCTTCCCAGAAGGGGAGATCTGAGGTCTGGGGTCCCCAAGGAATCTGGGCACTAATTAGGCCTCGTAATCCCTTTGCCAGAGCCTACACAGACCCTCACCACCTCTCTCCTCACTAGCTTGCGGGCGTGGCACCCAGAGGCTCCTAGTGTCTGCAAACTTGGGTCCTAGGGGTCGTCCGCGGCAGCAGGAACCGGCCCACAGGTACGTGTGCCTCCCAGAACAGGTGACCGCAAACCCTCTGCCAACCAAGCCTGCCCAGCAATCAAAGGCAGGGTCACGCGGGGTAAGGGTCGCGCAGCAGTGGGGTGGGCGCGGCGTCACGCTCCCGCGCTCGTGTCCCGTGCGCCCCTCTCCTGCCCGTTTCCCCACAACGCCCGGTCCTGACGTTGGGGGCGGGGGCGCAGACGGCTGGTCTGCGCTGCGGCCCGCCCCTCCCCCACCCCGGACCTCAGCGGTTCCGACGCGGCTGGAGCGCGGGGGTTGCTCCGGCCTAGGCAGGCTCCGGGGCTGGCAGAGGGGCTCCGGTGCGGAGCGCGCGCTGCGCCCTCCCCCTCCTGCCAGGACTCCGCAGCGGCGCGGAGAGGGGGGGCGCTGCGGAGCCGGGGGGCGGGGGCTAAAAATACCGGGCGGCGGCGGCGGCGGCGGCGGCGGCGGCGCGGCGATTGCTGGGGCTGCGGGGTTGCGGGGCTGCGGGCCGGGGAGGCCGTGCGGGGCCAGGCTGGGCCCCGCTCACCGACATGCTGACCTTCTTCCTCGTCTCCGGGGGATCGCTCTGGCTGTTCGCGGGTAAGTCCCCGTTCTGCCCTCGTCCCAGACCCCCATCCCCAGCGCGCTGTGGGATCTTGGCCCCGGGTGGAAGTGAGCCCCCAGTCCCAGCTGCTGCGCGGTCCTTCAAGCCTCCTCCCCCGACCCGGGCCTCCCAGGTCGTCCCCCCACCCCCTCAAATTCTGGCGGGCTCCGGGTCGGGTTTGAGAAGCAGCTAGGTGTGTGGAAATGAGGGGCCTTGCTCTCAGGACCGTACAACCTCGTTCCAGTTCTCGCACCTTCTCCCCTTATAAAGAGCTCCATCAGTGATCAGACTAGGCCGAGCCCACCCGTCCCCCAAGGGACAGACGTGGTGCATCCTTGCCAACCCCAGTATCCGGAAACCTAGGGTGTTGGTCCCCGACGTTTTAATGCAGATCGGAGACATAACCAGCACCGACCCGGGACTTCCTGATCCTGGGCAGGGGTCTCCTCAAGACCCCTCACTGCCCACCCTTGAGCCAGAAATCTTCACAAGATTTCTGTAAAAGGGTGCTCCCCTGACTCCTCAGCTCTGCCCAGTGCTTGTATCCCCACTGCTCCCAGCCTTCTCCCCTCCCCCCTCACAGGAGTCAGCTCCTCGCCCCTGCGTTCTTTTAGGAGGCTGTGAGGACCCTCTCTGAATCCTTGCCCAACACTCCTCCCTCCTCCTCCCCGGCCACACACACACCTGGGGTCTCACCACAGGCCCGTTCATCCACCAGTTCTGCTGCCTGCACCAGCCAGTCCCCTCTGAGAGCCTCGTGTTCCTCCAGGGTATAATACCACTACAGGGTCTCCACTTCCGGCTGCCCATGTGCAGATTTAAGCCTGATAAGGTATGTGAAGTTTCAAACCTTAAACTGACCTTGAAAGGGACCTAGTCCAGAGCAAATACTCTAAGAATGTTAGTGTTTATTATTATTTCACAACCTGCAGCATCAGAGGAGGTAATATCGTTCTTTATGAGCCAAAGAAGGGGAAGCCAACCCTTCTGAAATCCTTACCTGAAACTTTACATGCATTATTTAAAATTCACAGCAAATACTAGGAGTTTGGTGGTGCTTTCCCTTTCTCACTGAGGTTCAGAGGTTAATTGACTTGTCCAGTGTCACATGGGTAATATCTGGCAGAGTGGGATTTGATGTGAGGTTTTAATTGAGCAATCATTGCTAAGTGCATGGTGGTATCAGGCCTGAACCTTGAGGGTTGGTGGGCCAGGTAATCACCCACACCCCCCCCCCCCCCCCGCCGCCTCCATTGCCCTGAGTTGGGCCACAGGGATACTTCCCCTGAGCTGGGGAGTGAGTGAGGCCTCTCTAATCCCTTCAGCTCCCTAAGCTCCTTCTGTCTGCCGGTGTCTGAGGACAGGCTGTGCAGGGCCACTCTGGGCCTGATGTGCTCATCCAGCAGGCAAGGTCTGGGCCAGAGCTGGGGTCACAGGTAAGGAGCAGGAGCTACCAAAGTAATGAGGAGGGGAGGATGGTGATAGCAACAGCCACCATTTACTGGGTGATGGTCTCAGAGCCTTTCCCTAGTGCCGGGACCCTTTGCTTTACCCTTAGTAGGCCCTCACCCAGTGGTGGATCGAAGGGCAGCTCTCTGGAACCTTGGTCTTCTGCAGCCACAGGGAGAGGTCTGGGGACCACAGGGCCACATGTGCCAGGAGTAATCAGCAACCTTTGAGAAAAAGCCCCTCACGGTGTTGGGTCCTTGGTCTGAAATTGGGGTTCAGCAGACACTGACTCAAACTGGCCTTCTGTCCTGCTTCATTGTGGAGCATTTCCCAAAGTGGTCGTGTGCTTCCCTGAATGGGAGAACTGCCTCACTGAGGGACTGTACAGAGGCCTTGGAGTGGTCAGGGAAGGAGACTCTTGGTGCAGGTGACAGCTGCTTCCATACAGGGCCAGCTGCTCAGTGCAAACAGGAAATTCCTCAAAGATGCCACACTTGGCATTAGAGTAAGAGCCTGAGTAGTGATCATTGGATGGAATACCCCGTACACCTGTAGGGGCACTCCCAGATCATGTGTCCACCTTGCTTGGGACTTTGCCTGGACCCCAGCCTTTCTCTGGAGAGAGAGAGAGAACTGCTAGGCTAAGACTGACAACACATTCGGCCTTGTAATCTCCAGGGTCCGTGGGCAGCTATCGGATCCCTTTGGCTCAGCTAGAAACAGGAGACGACCCTCAAGGCGATGTCACTCTTTAGTAGAGTTATGTGCTTCTGGCCCTAAGGAGACAAGGGCTGCCTTCAGGGCACTGCAGGGAGAGGATGGTGTGAAGAGTAGGAGGAAGCCCCCTGGAGGAAGAACTGTCTGTCTGAGAGAGGCAGCCATGTGCTCTGAACCCTAGGAGAACAAGAGCTGCCTCTGTGGTCTTCCCCACTGAAGAGGCCATCTCTGAGTCCTGGGCCAGCCCAGATCCCACCTGTGTGTTGAGTAGTAAACAAGGAAGCAAATAAAATAGATCCAGCCTGAGTCAGATGCTGCACCTGGCCTGGGAAAACATGGTTGGTCTCTGTGCGGTGAGCACTCAGAGGACTGTGGGAGCAATGGATTGGCACTTCTGCTATGTGGCACCACTGGGCAAAGTAGAAAGAGGCACCCCTCTTAGTGGGTGAATTTCTAAAAGGGCAGCCTTCCCTCTAGGTTGATGCAGCCCCATGCCCCTGGACAAGGTCCATTCTGCTCAACCACATACCTGACCACTGGTGGCATCTTCATAGGCTTTTGCAGCATGCAGGAGGTTTGTCAGAGGCAGATAGGCCAAACTCTGGGTAGAGAAAGTCAGGGCAGCCAAGGGGTGCAAGAAGAACTGTGGGGGAGTGGGTCTTCAGGGTCTTGTGCCCCGGGAGGCTAGGCTGTGGGAGGAGGTTGGAGTCTGGATAGCAGGGGATTCTGGAGGAAAGGGGGGGGCGGTTCTTTAGGCGGTAGAGCTCTCCATTCAGCTGCAGTGGCCACGCTGAGCCAGCAGGGGGAGGGTGGTAGAGCGCAGAGAGGCTGTTGATGCGATTAGATGCGGCTCAGGTCACGGCTGGGCTCCTGGGAGGGGAAGGTAGGAGGTCCAAGTTGTGACCCTGGGGAATGGGGTTGGCCGGGGTGGCAGAGACTGGTGTGGCAGCCATTGCGCTGTAAGTGACTGGGGCAGGTGCAGACGTGCACAGCCTTGCTGAGTTCAGCCCTATCAGATCTTCACCTATTCCAGACTCCCATTAGGGTGGAGGACTAGTATGAGATCTAGAGCCATTACAGGGAACCCAAGTAGGCACTTAGGACCCTGACAGATTGTGGAGCTCCAGGCAGAACAGCTGAGGGCATGCCTCACAAAAGAAAATTGAGATTTGCTCATAGTGCACTGCCCTGTGGGAGAGTTCTGACCTCAGCGCCTTATCTTGCCTGGCCTGTGGTGGGATACAAGGGTCCTACCAGTGACAGCACACTGACACCAGAGGGCATCAGAACCTGGCCATTCTGCTCTCTGGCTGGTTTTCTATCTCACGTGATCGTAAGGGCTCTCAGTTTGACCTTCAGAAGGCTGACTTTGGCTTGGCTGCAGGCCCAGATGGGAGCCAGGGCTGTCCCATACACATAGCACGCCAGATAAATGAGCATGAGGCTCTGGCTTGTTTGCAAAAGGAGGCAACGTTTACAGGCGTTTGTATAACATAAACTGCACTTTGTCATTAGCCATGTAATGAGCCTGGAACATAGTAGGCGTTCAAATATTCATTCAATGAAGTACTGTGGGAGGGGAGTTGTTTTTATGGGGTAGAGGGGAAGTGTTGTTGCAAGTGTACTGATTCGACTGCTGTTTCCCTGAGCACCTACCGTGTGTCAAGCACCATGCTCTACAGTTCCCTAAGCTTTCGTGTAATCTTTCCCACAACTGTTATCCCCATTTAAGGTGAGTCAGTGAGGCCCAGGGAGGTACAGAGGGGAAGCAACTCCTAAGAGCTAGGAGCCAGGCCATCCTCTCAGACTTGCAGTCCAGGGAAGGACCACCAGGTATGAGCAGCCGGTGTCTGAACCCTCCAGCAGGCTCAGCAGTGGGCACAAGCAAGGGAGCGGTCTTTGGGAGGAGGAGGGTTTAAAGAGAGGACTGGCATAAAGAGCTAAGAGCAGGGCTGGCACATAGGAAAGGTCCCCTTAAATGTTAGCTCGAGTTAGGCCTTCCTTAAAGCGGGCACAGGGTTCTGACCTCCAGAAAGGGAGTTAAGGAAACAAGGCATTCCTGGCAGAAGGACAGTATGAGGAAAGACGGGCCGTAGGAGTGAAGAAAATCTCGGGACAAACTCTGCTTGGCCAGTGAGGTCACCAGGGCTGGGATCTGCAGGCTCTAGAATACCAGCCCAGGCACCTGGGCTTTGTTCTGTGTCTATGGTGGCTGCATCAAAGAAACATAGCCCAAACTGGGCATGTGGGTGGCCAAGGGGACCCTACACCTGCCCTCCACATGCCTGTTCCACTGACCTGCAGCCTTTGGCCTCCTACACTATGATCTCCTGGAGGGCAAAGCCAGAGTTTCTCCTCTGTGAGCCTCAATCCGGGGCCAGGCACAGCGTGAACCAGTGTCGGTTGCATTAATGAAGGGCAGGAAGAATTCTGTGAGAACAATTTATTTTAATAAGGATGTATTTTATAAGCTGTTTTCTTATCACACATCAGTTAGCAAATAACACAATTTGAACGTAATCTTACTAGGTACCAGGCTCCATGCCCGCCGGGGCCATGATGCCACTGTGGTAGAAGCAGTTGCGGGGGGGAAGCAGGTGTGAACTCCTTGCAGGCAGGACAGCTCAGCCTTCCCTGGGGAACACTTAGTGCTAAGAACCCAGAACAGAAGGAGGTGCTCCAAAAGCCAAAAGTGAAGGAAGGAAGGGAGGAAGGGAGGAAGGGAGGAAGGGGTCAGCCAAACCTATAGCTGCAGGTGATTGGTTTTGTAGAATATATTCTTCTCTGAGGGCAAAGTCCTTTTGTCTCCTTAGAGCTCCAGTAGGCTGGGAGCTCTGGCCAAGCAGAGCAGAGAGCAGGCCCTAGTCTTGGTCCCCAGCTCACTGGATGGGCTGGTGTGCTGGCCCCATTTCCTGCCTTGGCCTGGACAGAATCCTTAGTAGTCACCCATTGGGCCTCAGGGATACTTCTTTGGGGTGTCCTTCAGGTTGCCCAGGCTGGTCTCCCACCATTGTTTGGCTGCTCTGGGAGCTCATGGTGGGTGGAGTCATTCCCAGACCTGGTTCCTTTTTGTGGCTTCTGATTCATGTGAGGCTTGATCTTTATCATCTGATTCTGTGACAGGCAGAAGTGGCAAGATGGGAAGTGGGTTGGGACAAATTCTGAACCAAGCTGAGCTATCTGTTCTGAAACCCAGCCTATAATCTCAGAGCCTAAAGGATTTCAACTCCCAAGAAGTCCCACCTGTGTTTACTCCCCTGCTTTGCCCGGAGATATCTTTCTTCTCCGGACAGGTAGTCCAGGCATTTGGCCGGGAGTGTTTGTGGAGAATCGGGGGAGGCTAGCTTCTGATTTTCTCTCTGTCCATTCAGGCCTGCATTCTGAGATAGCTGTCTTCTGGGGACTTTAGAGCAGGAAGTAGGCCAGGATGGTGCCAGTGAGGGAACAATCAGCATTTCCATTTTCAGACCCTGGGAGAAGCAAATCCAGAATGACACCTGTTGGAGTCAGGAACAGACCCAGCGATTGATGGCTATGAGAGGAAAAGGAGAGAGGACAGGCAGGCCCAGGTCGAATGGGCAGCTCTGGGCCCAAGACCACTAACCAACACCAGGAACCCTGCCCTGTCCCCAGCATACTGCACCCGCCCGGACCACCAGCACGGCA